CACCTGTTACTCATGCTTTGATCAGTGTTCCAAGCCCACGTGCATCGATGCTCACTGTGCCACTCTGCTCCTCTGTGGTTTTCCTGGAGGAGTTCTTGGCTCAGGCTTTGCCTCCTCTGGGTTTTGGGCCAAACTACCACTGGTTTGGTTAAGGGGTTGAGTGAATCCATCAGAGCAGCCCAGGCAACAGACTTTGCATTTTCTTCCATTTTCAGACTCTTCACAATTTTCCAGCACAGCCGTGTTTTCCCATTTTAGCAAACAGGACATACAAATTATTGCATGTGCAATGTACAATTTATCCACCTCCACAGTACTGCTGTGCTTCATCCATGTGAGATGATGGTGAATTTAGAGAATAGGCTGGGTTGGAAGGGACCTTGGGGATCATCTCATTGCACCCCCATGCCATGGGACACCTTCCGCTATCCCAGGTTGCTCCAACCCCATCCAGTCTTTGAACACTTCCAGGGATGGGGCAGCCACAGCTTCTCTGGGTGTGTCAGGGCCTCACCACCCTCACAGAGAAGAATTTCTTCCAATATTTCATCTTAATCTCACCTCTTTCAGTTTAGAACCAGTCCCTTTGCCCTTTCATCACCTTTTTACCCATGTAAAAAGTCCTTCTCCCTCATTTTTGTAACCATCCCTTGAGTACTGGGAGGCTGCAGTGAGGCGTCCCCAGGTGTTCTCTCTTTGCCTCAGGACTAGAGCCTGGGATGGCTGCAAGGCAGGATCACAGGGACACAGGACAGTTCATGGAGACCTCAGGAGTCCCTTTCCAAGCTAAACTATTCAGTGACCCTCCCTTGCAGCCCCACCAGTGCAAACCAGAACCACTCTGACCTCCTGCACCCACCACCCCTGGCAGTGCTTTAATTTTGCAGTCCCAGGAGCACAGTTAGGAGAAGTGCTGCCTCCTTGCAGCCTCCTCTGGTGGGAAGCAGCAGGACCTCCTGAGCGAGCTCGAGGCCAGTGATCCAAGGTTTGGGTTCTCCTGATCTCCCGGCCCACCACCTCATGAAGTGCCACGCCCTTCCCTAATGCGACACAATCGCTGAATTCTTCGGTTTGGAAAAGATTTTTAAAATCACCAAGTCCAACCCAGCACTGCCAAATCCCCGAAGGATTGTGGATGGCAGATGTAGGGTGAGAAACACCTCCATAGGAAGGATGAGGGTCTGGGACTCACCATCAAGTGCTGCTGGTTGAAGAAATGTTGGATAATGGCTCAGGGAAGGGGGATTGGGCTAAGAACCTCCAGGCAGCCCCATGGGTCTGCAGTCATTCCAGATTTGTCAGAACATCCACATTAATTCAGCCAGGCCAAGATAAAACCATTACATCTGAGGATCTACTGGGCTGTGATGGTTTTGGATGAAGGATCTGAAGAGCAGCAGTCCTGGAGCCCATTTTCCCGAGATTTATGTTTCCTGTAGTCCTGCCTATAATTCTAAAATCAAACAGGTTATGGAGCAGAGTCAGGGAGATAAATACACTGTTTTTTTTTTTTTTGGAAGATTTCATCCGTTCCGGGATAAGCACCAAGGAAGTGAATCATTTGTTGCTCAATTACTTTTTTTTTTACATTTTGCAAGTGATATCCTCAAACCCCTGTGCACTGAGCCGAGCTCCTGCTCAGAGTCTGGTCATGCAGGAGGTGCCAGGGAAATCCAGGTGAGGTTGAGTCTTCCAGTACCTGATGGGGGACAACAACAAAAAAAAATGGAGCGGTGCTTCTTACAAGGGTACTGAGGGATTGGACAAGGGGAATGGCTTTAAGCTGAAGCAGGGTAGATCTAGATTTAGATTAAATATTGTGAAGAAATTCTTCCCTGTGAGGGAAGTGAGGCCCTGGCACAGGTTGTCCAGAGAAGCTGCTCCATCTCTGGAAGTGTCCAAGGCCAGGTTGGACAGGGCTTGGATCAACCTGGGACAGTGGAAGGTGTTCCTGCTCGTGCCAGGGGGTTGGTATGAGATGATATTTAAGGTCCCTTCCAACCATTCTGGAGTTGTATGACTGGCTTTGCAGGGATGTGGGCAGGGTGGCATCAGAGTTACCATGGCCCTGCTGGAATCTTTAACCCCACACCCCTGTCCTGTGGTGGAAATGCTGCAAGGTCTGTGTTAAATCTCAGCCCTTCACACCCCATGATAGTGGGAAGGAGGCATCAGGTTGTGGGTTTGAGAAACCGAAATAAAAGCAAGCTGCACTGCACAGAAAAGGGGATTCCTCATGTCCTGCGAATGTACTTTATAGAGATGTGTATTTTTACAGGAGTGGAGAGGATACAAAGCTGAAATTTGGGTAAATTCAGCCACGTGTCGTGATTCTTCCAGAGTAGAGAGCCCAGGTGGCAGCTGTGGGGCCAGAAGAGGTTTCCCAACCCCCAGGAGAGATGCAAAGCACACATGGGATGCAGGCAGGGGCGCTTTTAAAAAGCAGACAGGGCTGGAGTTTCCACCTCTTTTATTAGAAATAAGACACATTCATTTTGTGCTCTGAAAACTGTACAGAAAAAAAAAAAAAGTGTTGACAAACAGAGAGAGGAAGGAGGGGAAGGCATGGAAGGAGGGCAGGACGTGGGAAAACAGGATTAACCAGAGAAGCTGAGCAGAGAAAGTCGAATATCAACAGTTCTTAAACAAACATTTATCTCTGTAATTACATAACATCGTTAATGTCCTGCAAAGGTGGCTGCAGTGAATGGGTGAGCGGGGAAGGTTGGAGTGAAGAAGGCAGGCTTGAGTGGACAGAAGGGAAGGGAATGAAAGAAAAGGGAAAATAATTAAAACACAGTAGAAAGATACCTGTATGCTAAAATTCATCATGTGTAATTATAATAATTACAATATCATACAACCCAGCATCTGAGGGAAGCGTTTGTGCTTTCCTGTTTCATGAATAAGCTAAAATTGAACAATAGTATCACAGTTTTATGAGTAACCACTTTCCCTATTTTTTAACTATTTGGATTTATTGAAGTTGTCCTTTCCATCCTTCACATCCTGTGATTAAAGGTAAGGTAAATGCCACTGCCCTTGGAGATCACCCAGGTGGCCCAAAGGGAAGTCAAGGCAGAGATTTGTCACATCAAACAACACCTCCCCATGGGGGAAGCACAACTGGGGGCATTGCTTGGCATCTTGTACCCATTGGTCATTTTTCCCTAAAAATGTGAGGTTTGGTATTTTTTAATTAAAAGGAGACCCAAGCACAGTAGTAATTCAGATCCTGATTAAGCTTTGTTGCTATCCGGCACAATCTGGCCACTCACAACCAGAGGTTTGTCTCCATCCACCTCCAAAACTGGGAGAGCTGGTCCAAACATCAGACAGACAGTGCTGGGAATGACAAAAATTATAATAAAAAAATAAAGTCTGTGTCTAATGCCTCTGGCATATTTTTTTAATGATAAAAATATTGCACAACACTTTTTGGGGTGAAATGTAGACACCTCATTTTTTTTTTTTTTTTGTAAATAACCTTGAGAAGTGTTAAATGAAAAAAAAATTAAATTAGATTTTTTTTTTTTTTCATAGTGAAATGAAAATACTGCATTTTATGAGGAGGATTGTCCTGCTCTCCTGATCAGCTCCACCTCTTCCTTCCTGTAGGACCATGAAAATGCTGCTGGCTCTGGGCAGTGGGGAGGGCAGAGAAGAGCCAGCGAGGGGAAAATAACCAAAACCCAAACCGAAGAAAACTAAACAGAACATTGCAAGCCAGCGGTGAAGGGGCTGTGTATTCCCACCATCCCAAAATTTCCACGGAGCAACTTGCCTTCCACCTTCAGCAGGTGGCATCCTCACCCCATGCCTGAGCAGTCCTACGGCACAGAAAGGCATTCGAAATGACAAGAGCCAAAGAAAAGAAAGGTCTCGGGTTTCAAGTTCTCTTTTTATTGAAGAAAAGAAAAGAAGAAGGAAAAAAATAGATTATTTTGTTTGTTTTTTTTGTCTGTTTGTTTCCAAGTGGACGTTATTCATGTTGTCAGTTTGTCTCAATGTCCTAAGGCAACGTCTCTGTTTACCAATATCTCCAGGTACAGCGGCAGATCTGTCTTTCCCTTTTTCTCTTTCTGCCTTCCAGGGAGGGGCAGCTTGGAATAAATTTGAGTCCAAAAGCAAGGACAAATAACAGAACGAAAAAAAAAAGAAAAAAAAAAAAAAAAAAAAAAAAAAAAAAAAAAAAAAAAAAAAAAAAAAAAAGAAAAAAAAAAAGGATGAGGCCAAGAGGACCTTTGCAAGGCCCGTGCTGAGTTCTGAGTTTATCTATTTAACAGTCAATGACATGACCTACATTCTTCTTGTTGGTCTGGTTGTCTACCACCTTCCACCCTCTCCCTGGAGATGGTGTGAGCAGGATTTGGAGATTTGGAGCTGGTCCTTTCCTCCGCTGGGGAGGGATGAGAGGAGGAAGCCCCACCTCTCCTTTCCACCGTGTCCCCCTCCGCGGGGACCCGCTGTGACCGTGCGCCAATGCCAGGTCGTGGCGTGGCACCCAGGAGTGGCAGTGTCCTTGTGGCCACTTCTTGGCACGTCCCATCTCCTTCCTTCTTGGATGAGCTGGCGAGGGAGAGGCTGGGGGAGCGAGAGGCGTCTCTCCAGGCTGGGTCTGCCCCAGCCCGGCCACATCCCAGCGAGGCTCCCGCAGGTGTCCCCTCTCGGTGTCCCCAAACAACCCTGATCTTCTGGGCCCTCTGTGGTGGCTGCTGGGCATCCTTCCACACCGCCCCGTGGCAGAGCAGGAGGGCTCCTGGTGTGCGGCAGCGACCCGAGAGCATCTTGGCAGGGCTTGTCCCCTGCAGCCCCTCCCCACCCTCCTCCTCCTCGCTCTCTTCCAGGCTCACTCCTCCAGTCCTGCCTGGGAAAGCTCGTGTTGTCCTGAACCTACAGCTACTATACTCTATAAAGTAATATTCCCCCTCTCTGCTGAGAACAATACAAAAGTTACTCCATCTTACCAAAGGTTTCAAAAGAAACCAAACACTTCTCTCCCTCGGTTCCGATTTAATTTAATCATTTCTTTAAAACGTGGTTTTGTTTTGTTTGTTTCGTTTGTTTTCCGGAAAAAAAAAAGTCCTTTTTCTTCCCTTTCTGCTCAGACCTCTGTCTGAAGGTCAATAATGTCTTGTCCCACCAAGGGGATGGTGGCCCCTGTTTTCTCCCACTCTACAGTTTTTAGTTCTAGGGGAGACTGTGCCACAGGTTCGATGTCCTTTTTAACCCATGATGGCGGGGACTGGACTTTCCTGATGCCTTCCCAGGGTCTCTTGTTTGGTGTCTGCTGTTTTTCTTGCTGCAGGAGGAGGAAAGTGTGAGAAAGGAGAGAAAAAAAGAAAGAAAAGTTAGTAGTGCAAAATGCAAGAAACCCCATGATTTTGCCTCCTCTTGTATCAACAAATCGTTTTTTCTGTGCAGCTTCTCATCCAAAATAAAGTGGGGTTATCAATGAAAATGACATTTAGTGTACAAACTGCCTATTTTCAAGAAGAAAATGGTGCTTTTCTTTCCACTGCCACCTCCATCACTTAATGACTGGATACTTCAGCCTTCAGCTGAGGATTTTGCTACTGAAAAACTGAGTGTGGTTTTGAGAACATCAGATCTTTTTCAATTTCCACAGATGTAGTGATGAGACAAGGGGTGATGACTTTAAGATGAAGGAGGGTAGAATTAGGGTTAGGGTTAGGGTTAGGGAATATTGGGGAGAAATTCTTCCCTGTGAGGGTGGTGAGGCCCTGGAATGAAATTCCCAGAGAAGCTGTGGTTGCCTCATCCTTGGAAGTGTCCAAGGCCAAGTTGGATGGGGCTTGGAGAAACCTGGGATGGTGGAAGGTGTCCCTACCTATGGGACTACAGGATTTAAGGTGGAAATATCAGAACTGTAAAATCTTAAAGGTCTCTTCCAACCCAACCCATGTGTGAAACCCAGATTACAATGAGGTCTTCCTGAACACCCACTGCATTTGATTCACAGCTATTTGTAGACTCTTTAATTGCAACAAAACCAGTTCCCTGCTCCACCAGGGAACCAAATCTGTGCTGCTTGAGGAGCTGGAGCTTATCTTGGAGGCTGAAAACATTTCCACCAGCTCCACACCAAGCTCTGGAGGCTTTTTTGACCCAGTCTCCCCACAGCACCCCACTATGGATATTGATCCAGAAAACTTTTCCATGTTTTTGCTGACATGCACCGAGACAAGGCTCTGGGGAGGGCTGAGGGGCTGGAAAATGAATGTGTTCCTCCATGGGTGGAGAAAGGAAAGGTTTTAAATGAGTTGCTCCACTCAACTTCTCCCCTCCAAACACCAGTGATGCTTTTCACAGTTCATTATCTCCACAAAAACACTCCAGCACTGGGCAAGAAAAGGCTTTCCTGGACATTTCAGAGCCCTTTTGAGCTACCTGCCAACGGAGAAGTGGGAAGGACAGGAGGAAAGCAGCTCACGGAGGATGACAACGAGGGAAAACCCTGGAGGGAAGGTGAGGAGCCAGATGTGCAGGGGACACGCCACCAGGATGTGGCTCGGCCCGAGGCTGTCACCAAAATCTAATGACTGAGGGGAGATGAAGCCACAAAAGGCTGTGGGGTCACTCCAGGATGGTGCTGAGAGCGTTGTAGCTCTGTAGGAAACCTCCATCCCCATCTGCTGCAGGCTCATCCAGCAGCCTCAGCTCCTCGGTTTGTCCTTGCCCAAGATGTTCTTGCCAGGCTCTTGTTTGTCCCAGCTCCACACTGCAGTGCTGACAGGAAAGCTGCTGTGGAATTATCCCTGCAGGGGCGGCTTTCATTGGGTCAGGAATTCTGCTTGTCCAAACTTTAATGTAAAAAATAAGATGCGCTTGAAGTTGGTCCTGCACCTAACTACTCCCAGGAGGAAGGCTCTGGGTGGTTAGAAGGTGGGGAAAGCACAAACCAGGTAAACATCGCAAAGTGAAATGAAAGCATTTTGAAATTATCTTCATTCAAAGGGAGAAAAATACATTTTTAAGTATTTTTGAAAAAAAAAGTTTTGTTTTTTTTTTTTTAATCATGTTGTGTAAAAGTATTGCTCATATGTAAAACACTCAATTCTCAAATTTTTGAAATCTGCAGCTGATATTTTCGTTAAACTCTACAATACAGAGCTTTCCTTATGCTGCTGGTGTTATTCATACTTTATTCCATGAAATAACACAACAGTGATTAATACTAATATGACAGAAAAAGTGCTAAAATTGTGATTTATTCCATTATCTCTTCTGGAACTTATTTTAGAATCACTGCAACTAAAAAGTGGAACCTATTTAACTCTTGTGAGTGCTTTTATGAGACAAGCTGGAAGTTTCCTGAAGAGAAATTTCCACCTACAGAGTTTTTTGGAGACCATCAGTCTGTCTGAAAAGACAGCGAGAAGGAACACAAATTCATTCCAATTTTTGCTCTTTTTGTGTTTTTTTTTTTTTTTTTAAGTTTCCCAAAAGGTGAAGACAGATTTGTTTCAATGAAAAACTTTTTTTTTCTCCCACCACTGCTGCAATGCCACAAATTTTCGAAGCTGCTGATGCCCACAGCTGTATTAGAGAGCAGCACAAGTGATGTTATGCATGAAGTTCATAAATAATTCGTTTTTCCCCTCAAACAAGAGCCTTTTTTTGATGGGATTATTTATGGCCACCTTCAGCATCAGGTTGTGTTTGCAGCCAGTCCCTGTTTTAGCAGCCTCTCTCCATCTGCCACACTCCTGACCTTCAGCCTCTCCTTCATGGTGGGAGGATGCTCCCAGATCTGATCATGCACCCTGAACGTGATCAGCAAACCTCAGAGCCCTCCCTGTCATGGGCTAGTGAGCAAGAGGAGCTGCAAAACCGTGGAAGGAACAGAAATTGAGGGAGAAAACAAACCCAAAACCAACAAAATGAAAAAATTATGAGCTCACATCTACAGCATTGGCCTCCGATCAGCCCTGTCACTGGGGAACTCCACCTAAGGGTGACAAAAATTATTCAAACCCCAGACATTAAATGTTGTGAGTTGTTGAGAAGAGAAAAATTAAGAAAGGAAGAAAAAAAATGAAACAGGAAATATTATTCTGGCTGTGAACATCTCCCTTCTGCATCTGCATCTTGAATATTCCAGGCACTCCATGGGCTTCCTGAGGGGAGGATAAAGGGAAAATGATAAATGTGGATGGTTTCTAGCCATGGATAAAGTTATAGAGAATGTCCTGTGGGAGGAAAGATTGCAAACTCCAGCCTTCAGGCCTTAAAAGAGATTATGGTTGGAGGTAAAAGAGGTCTGTGAAGCTCTGAGAGCTTGTGGATGACAGGAATGGACCACTGATGTTGGGGATTGGGAAAATCTGTTCCAACAAAGGAACTCCAGAGGACCCAGGAGTGAATCCCGGGAGCTGGACCTGCCCACAGTGCCCAGCCAACCTCCAGACCACCTTTCCACAGCTCTCTGTCCATCCTGAAAGCTTCTAAACTCATGAAAAGTACACAGAAACACTCAAAAAACATCATTATTTCGGTGCTGTCCAGTGAAGTGATGTCACTCTGCATCAAGGGGTCTCTGAGCACAAATTCCTGCAGTTCTGGGGATCTTTTTGAAGATGCACCACCACAGGCTGGAACTTTTATTTCTCCATGCTCCTTTTCACTCTGCCATGGGGAGGAGGCAGAAACTGCCCTTGGGTCTGACCCCACATGGTGATTTCCATCCTTCTTATCAGTGTGATACCGACCTGGGCTTAGTGACCACAAAGGTGTTAATTCACAGTTAGAAGATGAAAAAGAGCTCTGGAAAACGAGGAAATGAAGAAGGGATTCTTGCTTTTCGTTCTCAGTTTCTCAGGAAAGGATCAGGCTTCTCTGGTGAGGCTGTGAGGGAAGTGCTGGCTCAGGGGTGGCTGCAGGAGGATTCTGTGCCCACTGGGATCTCTGAGCAGGTTAATCAGCCTGGCAGAGCTAAGGGAAGGATGCTGGGAGACAAAAGAAAATCTCCTCTTGGCACAGGGTACCCTGGGAATTGGTAGCAGGCTCCTGGGAACAGCTCCCCTTTTCTTTCCCTCCATATGGAAAAAAGTTTTTATGGGGTCTTGGCCACTTGAGCAGCACAGAGAAACAGGCACTGAGCTCATGCTCCAACCCTGGCATTTCCCTCCAGCTTCACTGTGGGGTCTTTGCAATCCTTGCAGACAGGAGGGAAAACTGAGCTATGCATAGAAAAGAAAGAAATCCTGGAGAGAGGGATGTGTAATCTGGCTGGAAAAGGCCTGGGGCTGGCCTGGTGCCTCCGAGACAGCCCGGGCTGGCCCCAGACGGGCTGAAAGCACCAGGAGCTGCTCTGCCAGGAACAGAGCCATCACTCTGGCCTGACACAGCCCAGCAGCTTCTGGGAAGGAGGGAAATGTTTATCAGTCCCTGCCTGGTGCCAGGATCATGGATTAAAAAAAAAAAAAAAAAAAAAAAAAAGGGTGGGAAAGGAGGGAGCACCCACACTCAGAGCTGGGGTAAAACCAGCTCCATACTCGAAGTGTTCATCATCCTGGTGGCACTGAGAGGCTCCTTCATTCAGCCCTAATTTTCATTTTAGCTGCAAATTTTTAAGGTAGAGGGGGAGGATTTGAGATAAAAGGTGTTTCGGGTGCAGTGCCAGCAAAACCCCCAGCTCTCTGACAAGGACAGAGGGGAAGTGCATTGAGATCATCAACACATCCTTCTGCTGGAGCTGGTCCTGGCAGACTGCAGAGTCACCTGTGCTGGACTCGTGGTGGGAATGGAAAGGTGATGGTGGTGGGTCCTTACCCTGGGTCTTCAGGGAATCATCACAAAAATCACAGAATGGTTTGGGTTGGAAGGGACCTTAAAAATCATTTCATTCCAGCCCCTGCCCTGGGCAGGGACACCTCCACTATCCCAGGCTGCTCCAAGCTCTGTCCACACTGGCATTGGGTATGTCCAGGGTTGGGGCAGCCACAGCTTCTCTGCCAAGCTATGCCAGGGCCTCAGCACACTCACGGGAAAGAATTTCTTCCCAATATCCCATCTAACCCTGCCCTCTGTCAATTTAAAACCATTCCCTCTTGTCCTGGCATTCCATCCCTTTTCCAAAGTCCCTCTCCAGTTCTCTTGCAGCCCCTTCAGGCACTGGAAGGGGCTCTGAGGTTTCCCTGGAGCCTTCTCTTCCGCAGGCTGGATAATCCCAATTTCCTCCGCTTTTCCTCCCAGCAGAGCTGCTCCATCCATGTGATCATCTTGGTGCTCCACATCCTTCGTGTGTTGAGACCCCAGAACTGGACAAAAGGTTCCAGG